CTGGATACACAAGTCTTCAGAACCACCAGAACAAGCAGGATTCAAGAAAGACAAGTGATGTATTCATCAGTTCTATGCATCATCATCACAAAACAAAGTATAGAATCGCAGTGAAACATATATCCACCTCAGATTCATCAACTTCAACAAGGCCTTCACTAAACAGTATTGACAGAAAAGTAATCTGGAAACCTCTTCAACACTACGGAGTGCAGTACCCAAGTATTTATCAACCTTTTTTGTAAACAGAAAACTGGCTATATGACAATGCCGCGTGTCAGTCAGGTGATCCACAACCGAAAACTCAGCGAGGCATTCGAAGTTCATACAGGAGTAAGTAAGATAAGCTGGCTGACTGCCTATTATCACCGATGATATTCCTAATTGTGATGCTCGACTGGATTATGCGTCAGACTGTGAGTTGGGAGAGAGAACGCAGGAATATCCTGAACCACCAATAAGAAGACTCCAGAAGATCTGGATTTCTCAGATGATATATGTCTGATATCTCACAAACTCGAAGAGCTACAGTCAGGCTTAAACTAACAAACTGCCTGAAGACGTGAGCAACGAAGACGGGACTTCAGGTGAACACAGCGGAGACGGAGGTGATGAAGATAACCAACGAACAATGACAACAAAAACAACAACCATCACCAAACACCATCAACGGGAGAGATTTAACAGAGGTTTCCTCCTTCACCCATCCGGCTACGAAGCATGGTTTCAACCACAGGCACTTGGAACGGATCAAGATGTCAAAGCCAGTCAGAAAGGGAAAGGTGTGATACGCCTTCATCAACCTGAAACTAATTGGGAAATCTTCAATACTCAACATGAGCGACAAGACCAATCTGAAGTCGGTCAGTTCTTCTATACGGGTCAGAAACTTGCACTGCGTATCCCGAAAAGGATTTCCAACAGGCTACTGCAGACTTTTATCAACAGCTGGCTTCAGTGGCTCCATAGTGAAGGAAAAATGGCAGTCAAGAAACAATCAGTAACAAGAAACTGTGGTAACAAACCAACCAATAGCCTTTTGCTCGACAAATATGTAGGCAACAGAGGTTAATAAAGCAGGATTTAATGAATTCATCAAATTTCGGTAGAACTCGTCAGCTGAATACTCTGCATACACGGATATATTATACTTTTGAAAATACATTGGGAGATATAAGACTGAGAAGTAAAGTGATAAGTAAGTGAAAGTGACTGATAAGTAGGTGAAAGCAGATCGAAAGCGGAAGACATGTTAATAAAATTCAGTTCATGCCATCCAAATTTCAGTTTCACAGTAGAACACGAGGAAAACGATACCATTAAATTCCTAGACGTTTCTCTAGCCAAAATGAATGATGGCACAATCGAAAGATGTATATTTAGAAAGTCTTCATTGACAGGACAGTACATGCATTTCAAAAGCTTTGTTCCAATCCAGTACAAAAAGAACTTAGTCAGAACACTGTTCAATAGAGCACGAAAAATTTGTTCTGACAGTACTATCGAACATGAAATAAAATCTCTGAAGGACATTTTATCTAAGAATGGATATCCTGAGAAGTTCATTAATAAATACTCTAAAGAAACTACCCCCTGCAAAACAATTCAAACAGTTCCAAAGAAACCTGTCTATATCAATTTGCCGTTCAAAGGAGGTGACGTACAGGAAGTAGTGAAACGAAGACTCGACAAAGCCATCAAGAGAACTTATTATGCTGCAAAACTTGTTATCCTCAACACCACCAAGCGAGTGCTTCAACAATCTGGGAAAGACCAGTCGCCAATCCTCGACACTTCAAACTGCATATATCAATTTGAGTGTGTTTGTGGCAGCAAATACATAGGTCGTACGGAAAGGCGATTATCTACTCGCATGATGGAGCATTTGCTAAAATGGTTGAAAACAGCTGAGTGCAAAGTGCCAAAATCCCCAATAACAAAACATCTTGTGGACATGATATCGACGCGGTCAAGTCATTCACCATTGTCAGCAAACAAAGAAACAAGAAGATGCTTGCAATTGCAGAGGCTTGTGCAATTCGAATTTATAAACCAGCTCTCTGTATACAAAAGGAGATGGTCGTGACTCTGAATCTACCATGGTAATACTTTTTATTTATTATTCTCTACTTGCCACTACTATTATTCTACCTCTTCTTCTTCTTCCTATTATTATTGTTATTATTATCATTATTATTATTCTCGATTCATTTAAAACTACGTTTCATCAGCAAGATTATCTTAACTCACTTCAACACTATTATTATTATAACTATTACTATTGATATTAGTCTGTTTGCAATTCTCCTTATATTCCCTAGTGACTAATTGTTTATCTAAGTGATGCAATTGAAGCGTAATGCCATTTATCTTAATTTTGATCTCTCATACTCTCTCTCCCCTTATCTATTTGAACATGACCTGGAAAACATTCGCACGTGTCTTTCTGCATGATTAATTCTATGTAGTTTGTTTACTTATCAGTCTTATATCTCCCAATGTAATTTCAAAAGTATATATATCCGTGTATGCAGAGTATTCAGCTGACGAGTTCTACCGAAATTTGATGAATTCATTAAATCCTGCTTTATTAACCTGTGTTGCTTGTTTTAAAATATGTAGGCGAAAACGGAGATGGATCGGGGATACATTGACGAGGTCGTCGAATGGAATCGCGCGCAATGCAGGCCATTGCTCGAGTGTAACCTGAATTGAAAGAGACGAGTGGGTCGTCAGTGCGACGGTGATATGGAGGAGATCGTGTGAGGAAGAGATGAGAGATTATAGGCAATCGTAGACGCAGCTGCGGAAAACAGAAGAAAGTGGAGATGTATTGTTGAAGCCCTATGTTCCACTCGGAATCCAAGGAAATAATAATAATAGTGACTATCCACCAATAAATGATCTGAACTCTGAAAAATAAATGTCAGACACTAGTAAAAACCACACCACAGGGTTGTGCTACTTGATTTCAAGACCAATCGGCATAACTGATCGATAGGTGATGATCATCATATAATACAAGAAAATATCATTGGTTGTGTATGACAAATTATTTCTGCACCTATCTATTGATTAATTCACAGGCTAAACTGTGCAATTTAATGATGCACAAATGACGTTATTTAGAAAAATGACTAGAGAAATGGACAGAACCAGTAACATGTTTCTTTCAAAAATGAACATCATTCAGTAGTCTGATGATATATATATATATATATATACGATCAGGAATCTTCAGTTTCACAAAACTTAATTTACATAATCAAGCGGTCAATTCTACATATATTTATTTATTATGCGATGTATCATGATCAACATTTATTGTTATTGGTAAACAACTACCCCTTGCCCTAAAATATAAGATTTCGTAGAGTGAAGCTTCTCACTGGAATGCTGGTGTATTGTTCTAGAAAATTCGGATATATTTACTACAACCCGGTATGTCTTTCTCAGATTAAATAGGGTGAAATATCATGGAAAGGGATTTTGAGTAATTAAATGTGTTGACCGATTCACTTATTTCGAAGTTTCACAAAGTCTCAATAACTGGTTGTTGAAGAAAAATTTCAATATGAATACAGAATACTAGCTTCACGTCCACCGACAACGACCATCTTCTTGTCATTACAGTGCTATCTATGTAAATACCAAGGGTCGTGTGTAATGCACAACCTCCTGCTTTCATTTAATTCACAACTGAAGGACATAGCTACTGAGAGTAAAAGACGTGTCACATATTTTAGTTAAGTAGAAACAAATACTTGTTTGACCAACGACTTTAGCCAAACGAAGACCAGGTTGGGGTCATCATACGAAAACAGGCTACTTTTGAATGAAGATGGCGACTATTAGTCAAGCATGTAGATCTTTGGCACTGCGAACCCTTGGTGACAGTGATCAGAATCGTACTCATTCAATCAGATGTATTCTATTCGTAAAATTTTCCAAACTTTGAACATATATTCGCTACTCATAGAGAGTCTGTTTCAGAAAGTTTTGAATTATCAGGCTGCTATTGATGTAATGGGTGGTGACTGCAGGTGAATTATTCGCTTACATGACAGAAAATCTGTTTACATGCCAGTGAAATGATCTGTCTAGTAGTTAGCTTTCGTAGCTCAGCTAGTAGAGTGTTGGCGAAGCGAAATGGAAGCCGTTGGCTCGAGTTCTGAGGTGATCATTATTTTCATTTCATCTTCAATCATAATCACAGCACCATCAAAACAGTATTGAATTATTTCTTCCCTCTAAAATGAACAACTTTCTTCTTTTTTGTGAAGTGAAGTGCAGTGACTTGAAGTGATGTGCTTCTATGCTAATGCATTATTATCTGGATACCAGGCATTTCTGAAGATACTTGCCACAGACAACCATCTGCTGAAAACCATCAGGAAGTAATCACTATCCGTCATGTGAAAGTTATCCATCAAACATTCATAGTGTTTCGTAATAATTTGGTTGATTTGTCAGGTGAATAGAACTTGCACTGTTCAGTATCACAAATTGTATACCCAGGTAGCTAATCGATAACTGCCGGTTAATCCAAAGCATTCTCTAACACTATATATATATATATATATATATATATATATAGTGTTAGAAAATGCAATTCAATAGAACACGTCTAAACAGAATCCATAAAATTCTTCATGATCATGTAAATGTCATTTCTCTGGTCTAGTATCACGACTAACACACAAATATTTTAATTATTTTTAGTCACAAGTGAATATCCGAATAATTTCAAATTTTCTCCTACATTCTTTCAACATTGACACATTCAACACAATAAATAGACAATGAAATGTATTATGAAGTTCTGTTATGATCGGTATACGAGTAATGAAATACTATACATTCCTTTTTAATAGTATACATGAGAAAAGCTTAAACTAAACGATAACACTGAACAGATTAGATAAATTGATTTGTTTTTCTTGCTTTTGTAGTGTTGCCTGCGGTTTGCTTTCATTTTCAAAATTTATGCATCCACATACCTTATTTGATGCGCTATGGCTAGAAATGCCAAACCATCCCTCCAAGAATGTGTAAAATTGGTAATACTGATACCAGGATAGCTATAAATTTAAGAAAAACAAAAAAGAACATATTCAAGGTCATGGTTGCTGAAATCATCATTAAAATATACCAGAAAAACTGTCGAATAAGCATTTTATTCTTTGGGCAATTGAGTGAAGTTGCTAATTATTTTCTCTCATAACTGGTTTATCACCCGAAGATTACATGCATTGTTTTTTTGCAGTACGTGGTCTGTAGAAGATGTTTTTGAGTTTTTGGCAAGAAAGCAAATTAATTCGGAGGATTTAATCTTTTCCTCCACTAGGGTTGCAAATCAATTCAGTGGTGAACATCTTCATAAATAGTGATCCATGACGTTACAGGACTAGTGCTAAATCCTGTTTCCTAAAACCGCCATAGTCAATGCATCCATTTGCGAATGCAAAGGAAGAGAAATATTTATTTTCATCCAATGATGACTGTATTGATTAAGAGTGTAGTAAGCTGAATGAAAAGAGGTGGGTCATCCTAAAACATCACGTCAATAAGTGAACTTTTTTAAGATTTTGTAATAACAGCCTAATTTTAAGATGAGTCTTTTAATCAATCAACTAGACTGAAGACAACTCGACTCTGTCTTGTGTATAGTGAAGCTGAAAAATACTCTTACCCTACAAAACTCCTTGGCTGTGTGTGGATGCAGCTAATATTCGTGTATTCAGTTCTATAAAAGCCTCCTCCTACTGTTTAATGATATCCTGTCTTGACTATTCAATCACAAAACATGAGGTGATTACAGCTTCATTTGGTAGTTGTCTTACTTTTTTATTTTACTTGACCAAGGCGATTAGTCTGGCTTGATACATCAGTTGCTTAGTAAAACGCCTGTATACTGATTTCAATCTCATTCTCATATTATTTGCCTCAGAATGCCTAGCAATGGATATAAGTATAAAACTTGGGCACTGTGGTAGAGTATAACTCTATAAAGTCTTATTCATAATGAAGCCTAGCAATAGAATTAAGGATACTTTTTTCACCCTATCGATGGATTCATTCCAGGAAACACTGATTCTCTGTGTAAAGTAAAATAATACGGGAACCAACAGTTACCAGCAAGTAACAGTCGGATCAAGCATACCTAGAACGAAATTACAGTTTACCACCGTTAGTGAGTTCTACTGTTGTAGAGAATTAGGTCATATTTATGAAGAACGGAGCATATGTAAATCTCTACACTTCATTAATAATAAATCTTGACGTTGAAATGTATGATTAAAACTTTAGGTGTTTTTATAATTTATTCATGATGTCTATAATTCAGTAGAAAGGCACTCTGAGTTAAAAGGAGGCTATTTAAGGTTTTAAAAAATGTACATTAGTAGTGGAAGGTTCCGTGGCTATCTAGACATCAAAAAGTACTTACGAGCCTGAAGACAAGTGGCAGATGTAATGACTACAAACAGATTTCCTCTGAAGACGGTTTTAACCAGGGATACAAACATCCATTAAAGAGTCGATCGCTTGGAATGTCTTGAAAGCTGGAGTACTTCTCATCTTTCGCCAACATTTTATTCATCAAGGTTGTATGCTGACGAAACATCTCATAGTTGAAGTCAAAAGGTCCTACCAAGTTAAAAGCCCCCTATGATCAAGATAATACGTAAGCTTCTGGCTTACTATCAGAGCCCCTAGTTTTTAACTGATACAGTATTCATTTAAATGAGTAGTAATTTCAAGTAAGTACCGTTCCATACTTCACAACTGATACACGAGTGATCAGTCACATCATAAAGTGTAAGGTATACCATTGTATATTAAGTTCATAAATCAGTTGGCTTTCTTTCTCGTTCTTAAATTATAAAGAGGTTAGTCGAAATATTTGTTTATTTTAACCATAAGGCATTAACTGATTTCGCCTAGCTAAATAGAAGTCGAAGTTGAACTCATTGTATTTATATTTTTTATTCACCCATAAACGCACATTAATAAATGACTATTGCTCACAGCGCCACAAATGCTACTACAGAGCACAGTAACATAAAATGAGAGATGGACTAGGATCGGAAAAGCCACTCCAGAAGGGGGAGGAGGAAAATAATGTGGTCATCTTGAAGTGCGGATTTGTGTACATTGTGATGATAGCATATATAAAGATGTCAGAGGATGGAAATCGATAGTTCGTCAGGTATAATCTCCATGAGGCAACTGACAAAGCTGTGGAAACGACTACACTATGAGAAACCGGAGTGTGTGCTACTTATAAACAAATATAAGTAGTGTATAGTCTAGTATCCACTAGTGTAAACTTCGGTGGGGCAGTAACTTTTTAGGTATAAACAAAGCCACTGGGAACAGCCTTTAAGTCGAAGCACAATAAAGGTAGAAAACATTCCTTAATACAGATTGGATAACATTACCTACAAATAATGACACTAGTACGATGGTTTATAATTTTGTTATTGTTCATCTTATTAGGTCTACCCTCGCTAGTCTCATTCTCTTCAGTCCTGTCAATACTACTTCTGTTACTGTCAATCGCTATAACAAGAGACTAATTTATCAAGCACTGTAACCCTATTTTCCTACTGAGAAACCTGGTAGGCGTGGAAGATTGTGAGGTGTTGCTTTTGTCGGGCAAAAGACGGATGTTTAAAACTTCTGCATTAGTAAATAGTTTCTTTCAGCATATTTTCTGGACTTCGTCGATGATATATGTCTGATTTCCCATAAACTGGAAGATATGTAAGTGAAAAGCAACTAGCCGGCAGAAGAAGCATTCAGAGAAGATAGGACTTCAGGTGAACATAGAGAAAACAGAGGCGATGAAGATTCCTGGCCAACACCAACAGCAACAACAACAACAGACAACAATCAGGCAGCATAAATGGGACGAACCTGAAAGAAACAACCTCCTTTACCTACCTGGGAAGCATCGTTTCAACTACAGGCGGGTGGAGCTGATGCGGATATCAAAGCCAGAATCGGAAAAGCAAGACAAGCTTTCATTACTCTCAAGTCTCTGTGGAGGTCAACAGCACTCACCATAAAAATAACATTCGGATTTTCAACTCCAATGTGAAGTCAGTGCTACTTTACGGATCAGAGACTTGGCGCGTCACAAAGAGCATCTCAAACAAACTTCAGACCTTCATTAACAGCTGTCTTCGCTCAATACTCAAGATCAGATGGCCGACCAGAAAAGATCAGCAACAGGGATCTCTGGCAATGAGCGAACCAATCAGGAACCGATTGTGAAACAAATAGGCAGGAAGAAATGGAGATGGATTGGATTGTGGCCATACTCTGAGGAAACCAGCAAGTGACATCACTAGACAAGCCATCGCTCGAGTGGAACCCGAAAGGAAAGCGGGCGGTGAGTTGGTCGTCAGTGCAAGGGTGACTTGGACGAGGTCATGTGAGGAGGAGATGAAAGCATGTGGACAGACCTGGAGCGGGGTGAAAAAGTTGGCAGAAAACAGAAGGCAATGGAGGTGCACAGCTGAAGCCCTATGTTCCTCTAGGAATTAAAGGAAACAATAATAATCAGCATTTTTAATGGAAAACAAAATCATAATAGTAAGACATCAACTGAAATGATTACTTAAGCCACTTACCCCTCTGTCACTGCAACACACCAAGCGAGTAATCTCTTATCTTGACTTATTAACCATCTATCCACACATGGTGTTCTTGTTGAAACAAGTGTAGCTGGTGCTGAATGACCAGTTGAAGCAATACTTTGACTTCGTCTAGTTATCGTTGACCCTGATGAACTGATTGATCCCACTAAGTTTGTTGATGGACCTGTCCCAGCTCGAATAGCAACAATCAGGATCCACAGCGTATCCAGACCGAGAACAAGCAAATTAAACGCTGTTGTTTTCGACTCTGGAGAGTATTCTGAAAGTAGCTTATCTGAATCGAATGCAGGACTGTTAGTAAATTCAGAGAGTGAAGCTTGAACTGCAGATGCTATTTCATTCTACAAAGTAAAAGTATATGAAGCAAGTGGTGAAACAAAATTTGTCTTCTTTCATCTCATGGTTCATTCAAATGAAAATAATTTCATACAGAAACAAATCTTAAGAATTTGTTTTTACAATGTGAAAGCGACTTGAAAATAGCGTAAAATATGAAGCATGATTTGAAAATTCTGCTGACACTGAGCAGCGTGTAAACATTTGTCTTTCTTTAATCTGATTCAGATAATTCTGGTATATATTATATGCCAACTTTAAGCAAAAAATGTACTATGCTACAATATACTGTTTAATAAGGTCCGAGCCAGTTAACAGTTCACATGTCACTTTTCCATTTTAAGTCAACTTTGTAGTGATTAGTCACAAAATTTTATTTGTATTAGACCCAAATTTCAGCACTGATATGCCATACAGTGAATCATACAGTATAATTTACTGGATGGTATTTTGAGCCCACCTCACTACCCATGATCATAGCAAGGTAGTCAAATAACTTTTGACACTCGTACAAATACATAGAGAGAAAGATACTGCGATAGATAGTAACTGTGTGACAAAACACAGCAAATTATATGAATTGTAACACGATGACTAAAGAATGGGATACAATGTCTCTTCAATTTTACGTTCGAGAAATAAAGATAAACCAACTAATTTCCCCACCTCTATGTGTGTCTACGAGTTTGACTGCTTCTATGGAGCTAGTTACATTAAAGGTACAATTAGGTAGGTTCATCATCGAATTTCTCAACATTGTCTTGTGTGTTAAAGGAGAGGAACAAACAAGAGCTCTACTCGTAGCTCTGTTTTAGCACACCTTGTAGATAATGAGCATAAAATTGTTGTTGATAAAGTATTTTGTTTCATTTCGACCAATATTAATTTTGCTTTATAAGTTTATCTTCTACATACAACTGAGGCCATGGAAATCCACCGGGAAAAGCCAGACTTATCTATTGATTACTCCTTATTTTCCCAAAATTGTGCATTGTTTGTTTTTTGGAATTATTTCTACGATTTTAGTTGTTGCATTAAATGTTTTTGATTAATTATCAACCCTCTGACATGTTGATACTGACTTTTATATACATATATCTCTACAGCTTCAAATACAGTTAACAAACGTAATCCCATACCTTTAGACAGACTGTTCGTCGCCTGATATACACCAGTAAATGTCTCATCTATTTTTATGCTGTATACACACTATAGACTGAATGAGATGTAATGGCATTATTTGCTGATTTGCTTATTTAGATATGATAGAGAAGATTTGTAGCTCAGGTGGATGATTTTGATGTGGTTTTGTTCTCTGAGCTGGATGGTTAGTTTGCGAAGCTTTCATCACCCTACTGGGTGACATCTTCAGCGCATACTTCAATTTGAAAGCTTCGTAAACTAACCATCTAGCTCAGAGAACAGAACCACATCAAAATGATTTGCTTATTACTTTTCCATATTTACGACTGTGTAAAGGTAAACTCTCTTGAGTGCGTCCTTTATGACTTACTCCATAGGAGCAGTTAAATTTGCATACAGTCATTGACGGGGCCACCAGTGGTGACTTATCTTTAATGCAGTGTGTCAATATAAGTCTCAGGTACTAAAAGGTCTTTCAGTATTCCTAATCAACCTGAGACTTAATACATCACCAGATATGTCTCACTTAAACTGCACTCTTATGTAAAGTTTTTTCTTACTCGAAATATCTCGCTTTATTTTATCAGTTCTTTTAGCTATATGCTTCTTTACAAGATGGGTAGGATAACCATTCTGTAAAAGGATACTTTTCAGATTTTCATGAGAACATATACGTCTAATTCTGTAACTGCGATAACGAATTAAGTTCAGTTTGTACATCATGGGTATGCAACTGCCTAAGTGGTTGTAATGTCAGTTGCAAGTAGCTTTCCCGTAGATATTTCCCCATATCATCAGGTCCATTCTTTCAGTAAGACGAAAATCCTTACAAGAAATCCCACCCTGGTATTTGTCTTCGCAAGCAAATTTAATAGCTGGATCAGTATTAGCGAAGATTTGAATTAAGTTTGATTTATAAAAAATTCTTGTCACAAACAATAAAGGTGTCATCTACATAATGGCAATAATATTCAAGTTTATTCACCATCTCTGTCAGAGAACTATTTCCCAATTTTGCCAGGAAAATTTTGACTGATAAGGAACCAAGGGAGGAATGCATCTCAGCTCCATTTGTTTGTCCATAAAACTTGTTAAATCCAAATGTCTGTTAGACTCATCCCTGAGTATTTTTATACCATAAAATAAGATTAGTACAACATACTATATTTATGTAACAGCCTCCTCTCTAATGTCTGTTATTTGGTGTAAAGGCATAGGCAGAATGATCGAATCCCCATAATTGTATAACACTACTGAAATTCGTTCAGATCATCAGAATCATGAATCTCAAGAGCTCTGGATATACCAATTCCTTTACCTAAATAATGATAAGAGATCGTGTTTCAAGGTAATAGTGGATTAAACTGTAGTAAAAATATCGAAGTAGAGGTCTAGCCAACAATCTCTCACTTTGATATCTAATGCAACTCGCACTCGAACTTATACCACGTGTGACGAAATCAACTCTCACTGTGTATTCTTTTAATTTATTCTGCTAAACATACAACCAGAATAGTTTTCCGATACGATAAAAACCATGTTTACTGTCCAAAGAATACCAGATTCACTGTCCTCGCTGGAAAAATAGAGATTAGAGCAGCGTCATAAGGATCCACTGCTTCGAATACAATGTAAGGTTCATGATTACCCCAATACCCACGATATATCATCTCGATAAAGTTTATATCCACCCTCAATAGTTTTCCGTCATAATACTACTGTAGTAATATTAAATGTCTGCTGTAACTTAGACGCGTGGAACAAATGACTAAAGTGTTCTGAAGTACAATTTGATTTCTACGGACATCCACTGAATCGTTTTACTGCGATTATCAGTTTACCCAAAATTCAAGTGAATAAATGTTTTTTTCGTAATAGTGTGTTCTATAAACTGAAGTAGAGTAGTTGGTTTTACTTCATAAACCTGATTAATTAATCACTGGAATTCAATTTCTGAATTAATTCAGATATCTGGAATGAAGAAGATTGAAATCTTAAAAAAATTACCGGTAAGAATAAACTTTAGTAGAGAGTCCCGTCTCGAATAAATTGTTCCCATCAAGCAGTCTTTGAAAATTCAAGAATACTCATTTTTCTGTGATTGCAAATGGTGGCATCAAGTTATTCCGATTACAACAAATAAATGCAGATGGATACTTTGGCTTAAATTAGATTTATTAGTTTTTATTCTATACTTTTTTTTTAAATACTGATGCTTGTAATTTATGCTATCACAAAAGTAGTAACAATACTGTTTCAGACAAACAAAAAAAATACTTTTGTTGAAGCATGGATAAGCAACACTGAATGAACTGAAAGGTTTCCTCTGACTTTAATAACAGGTTTTATTGATCAGACAGATTATTGTTCTGGTGCGTGTATGTAGACGCACTTGGTAAGAAATGCATTGAGTGTAATAGGCGTTCATACGTTATACAGAAAAACTGCTTGCACACATGTGTGCAAAAGCAGTATGCAAATGAATTTGAATTTATGTATGTATTGAATTATACGATCAATAAATTTGCATGCAGGATGCACCTATATATACATCGACTGACAAAGTAGACGCGTGCCCATTAATGCACGCACATGTATATTGGGTTTACACTTAATAATATTACCTTATTGTGTGCTTGTACACAGTCGGAAGAAAAAAAACACGACAAAGCCATGAAAGAATGAGGTATGAAAGTGTACATCACTCCAAAACACATTATATATATTTCTTTGGGCACTTTTTCTATCTATTTAATGTTACGTATGCTTTGACTACTTGTGGTGTCAAAATAATTCTTTACTTTAGAAAAACCAGGTCAGAGGTTAGTCGATTAAGCGACTGTGCGAATGTTTTCTGCAATAAGTCAGAAATGATGAATTATTGTTCAAGTCAGCTGTGAGATGTAAAGCTTAAAAAATAGTGTGGAAATGCAAATTTATAAATGCTTAAGGGATTACTGAATTTATGACTTGTTGTTTTACATTGCCTACAAGACTTTAGGGGTTAATTTTGTTTTTCCTTAATGCAATGGTAAATATTACACTAAACAAATTTAAATAACGTGCTTCCACCAGGCTATCCACCTACACTAATTGAAAGATAATTTCAAAAATAGAAATTAGAGTTAACCATCCGCATATAATAGGACAGCGTCGGACTGGAATGTCAGTGTCTAACGTATCATCTTTCCATAAAACAAGTGAATAATTAATTTAAGTTTTCAAGTGACTCAGGGACTGTAGCTCACGAACAAATGGTCAAAACATTTAACTACACTAGCACCAAGATTGTAGAGTGTAAGGCAAGTCACTATGCTCTTCATGTGTTTTAGAGTACATAGTTCCTTTGTTAAGCTAACTAATAAATATGTCTTATACCATTGAATAGAGACTACAAGTCATCTACTTCAATTACATCGACTCTGAAAAGGCTTTTTGTAAAGCTGAACTTGACAGATATCCCAACTATTTCAATACTACGCAGGGCAGCTCGGTAAACGTTTAAAAATCTCACTCAACAGCTATGTATAATGATGTTACATGCCAGGTGATTCCCAACGAAATGTTTACCAAATCTTTTCAAGTGAAGACAGGAGTAAGACAAGACTGCCCGACATCACCGATAATCTTACTAATTGCGATGGGTCAGATCATGTGACGGTTATGCGTTGAACTAATAAACAGATTCTAGAACATCTGAAGTTGGTGGACGATTTGTCTCATGTCGCACAAATTTATAGATATACAAGCCGAAACCAGCAAGTTGGCAGCAGAGACAGTCTTTTTTCATTTACCTCTTTCATTTCCCCAGATATTAGCATTTCAGCTATAGACAGGCGACACATATGAGGAAGTAAAATCC